GATAAAGATAATAGTGCCTAACACAGTTGTAAGGATTTAATTTATTTATATAGCGTGCTTAGAACAAATGGTGCCTAGTATGTGGCAAGTGTCCACTGTGTGCCCATTATTGTTGGTGTTACTACCATCATCTTTCTTGGACTGTAGAATTAGCCTCCTAACTGATCTCTTGGCATCTTTCTACTTCCTTTCATCTGTTATACTGAAGCCAAAGTGTTCTTTTTGGAATGTGTATGTCTTACCTCTGTTTAATACTTAAATGACTTCCTGTAGCTCTTTGGGTAAAGACCTAAATCCAAAATTTGCCCTCCAGGGGCCTGCATGGTGTGGCTTTCATGTCTTTTTAGCTTCTTCTTACTTCGTATTTCTACTTGTTCTTAGTTTTTTGACCACCCAGATCTACCTTTGGCTTCTCAAATTCACCATGCTCGCTCTTGTACCTAGAACATTCTCATTCTCCCTGAGTGAGTTAATTTCTATTAAATTGTATTTCATATAATATATACTTAATAATAGGATTCTTGTTTTCTGTTGCAGTATACTATAAATGTTACGAGGATGAAATCTGTTTCTCATTTGCTTTATCTCCAGTGCTGACTTTAGAGCTTGATGCTTTATAGGTAGTCAGTTACATGTAGGCTTGTGATGTTTGAGCTGCAGAACAGGACTGCTTTTCCTGAGATAAGATTTGAGAGAGAGTGTACTGGAGAGGAGAAAGCAAAATTCAGACCAGAAATACCTGGGGGAGAAGCCCTTTCACCACTTATCAGCAATGTGACTTTGAGACTTTGTTTTCTTCTTTGTAAAATGAACATGATGGAGTTTATCTGATTAGGATTACTATGAAAATTAATAGATAATGAAAGCTCTTTTGGTTTCTTCTCGGTGTAGTTGTTGTGACTTGCTGTTTAACTGCATTTACTATACATGCTGTACTCTACTTACTGCCAGTTGATAATCTTAATTATAGACTTTGAGAAGTTAAAGGGATCAGCATATTCTTTGGATTCTGCCAGTTTTATTAAAGCAGGTGAATAAGTAACAATTTTAGACATGCGTTTCTATTACTGATCCTCATAAACATGGACTAAGTGCAAAGAAACATACTCAGTTTGTTGTTAGAAGAGGAAATGACTGAGCTAGGTGTTGGTTCTTTGGATGACAGTTTTCAAGTAAATACATAGATACACTAATCTCAAGTTACTTTTACCAGTTGTTTTTATTTATTTATTTATTTATTTATTTCAATTGTTTATTAATAAATGCTTCCCTAAGGTGCATGAAAGTTCTTAAATTTTTTCTGTCTAATTCCAATCTTGTGTATATTCTTGGTTCTTTGGTAAGGTGAAAAAGAACCCGATGTACAGAGATGAGATTGCTGGGTTCTAGTCCTGTATCTGTTGCTAGTTTTCAAAAAGGGTCACAGGTTTCTTAATCTGTTTGCATAGTTGTCATATCAGGGGTAAGCATATCTGTCTTCTCGTCTTCAAAGGTTATGTAGATAAAAAAGAGTTATCCTGGGAGAATTAGAAGCACTTTCATATGAAAGACTTTTTACCATTCCTCCATTAGGACACATACCAAAATCTCTGTTATTCATACAGTTAAAAAATTAATAATGACTTCTAAAAATTTCTGAGACAGGGTCTTACTATGTTGCTCAAGCTGGCCTTGAACTCGCTATCTGACCCAAGCTTGCCTCAACCTTGTGATCCTTCTGCCTTCCAGGGCCGAGATTACAGGCATGTGTTACCATGCCCAGTTAAATAGTAATCAAGTCTTAAAATTTGAATAATTGTATAAGAATGTGATGAATCAAGTGGACATATCTGCGATTTACTGTTTTTTTCCCTTCATTTGGAGCATATTTTCTTACACTTCACTGAGCTTAGTTATAATAGTTATGTTTACTATTCTTGTCTGGTAATTCTGACATGTGGTCATCTTGGGGTTACCCTCTGCTGATTGTCTTTTCCTTTGAGAATGGATTTAATTTTCCTAGGTTTTTATGTAATTTGGAGTGATTGTGTCCTGCACATTGTGAATGTTATGTTGTAGAGACTCTGGATTCTGTCTGTTTTTATTTTAGCAGGCACTCAGACCTCAAACTTTAAACTCTGTCATACCTATAGTAGATGTCAGTTCAAATCTTAGTCCAGTTCTTTTGTCTTTTAGCTGAGGTTTTTGGATTTTGCCCTGTGTGTGGATGGTTCATGGTTCAGCCAGAGACTTGGGCAGAGTTTGCTCACAGAACCTGGGACTCTCCTTCTCTGGTTTTTGTCTTTCCTACTTCCCACTATCTGTGGCTGCTTTAAGCTCTACCTTCTAGTTGCTCAGGACAGAAAATCTAGGGTTTTTAAATTGGAAATTCAGCTCGATTACTCTTGGGCAAGAGTTCCAAAAATGGAGAATTATTCCACTCCGGTCCTTTCTTCCAGTTTTCAATTGCTTTTCCAAAATATGACAGCTTTTGTTCACTTGAGATAGTTGTATTTTGTATTTTACCCCATCAGATTATAGTTATCTCTGGGAAGATTGTTATGGAAGCAGAATTCCTTGAAAGTGCTTTTATTCATTATAGAAGTATTTGGGGAGCGAAAGGACTCCCCAACATTTTTACTTTAATTTGTCTGTAACTCAAGGCAAATCTCTTCTCCTTTCTGGGACTTACATGGGTCTCAGGAAAAAGCAGTCAGTGGACTCTGCATGATCTATAAGGATTCTTTCATTTGTGCTTTTCGACAGACACATACAGGTGTACCACCACTGTCATCACCAGCAGTAACAACATGAAGCCCCAGAAGGAGATACAAGAGGAAAGTGATGTGGGGCAATCTGTAGGGTAGAAAGTTCTCTGAAGGAGTAGCACTAAAGAGTTTGATAATTTTACAGTTAACACACTGAGGATGGAAGAAGTAAATGACATTCAGAGGTAAAGAAAAATCATACTACTTGCTTTTACTTCTTAGAAATAAGAGAATGTAGACTGTTGAAAACAAATCAGGATCATCTGGAGTTCCAGTTTACTTGACTTTTGGCAGTGCATTCCATCCTGTTTTGAAGAGGACCCCCCCCCACCCCTCTGGGCATTTATTACCTGTCAACAAATTTGGCAGTGGGTGGTGGGTGCTGGAGCAGTAGGTTTTTTTGTCGTGCGTGCGTGTGTGCGTGCTTGCGTGCGTGCGTGCGTGCGTGTGTGTGTGTGTGTGTGTGTTTTAGCAGAGATAGTGGTCATTGTTAGGGCTGTAAAGACTGCAGTGGAGATAGACTAGATTTTTTTTTTTTAAAGCAAGGAGAATGCACAAAATTTACTACATGCCTAAGGACCCAAATTTCTCTAGCTATTTTTTTTTGGTACCAGGATCGAACTCAGGACCTTGCACTTGCGAGGCAGGCACAGTGCCACTGAGCTAAATCCCTGGCTCTCTCTAGCTATTTTAGAGTTCAGACTTTTTATGTAGAAGTTCTAGGATATGCAAAGGAAGATGTGTGTGTGTGTTTAAGGTGGGTGGGGAGAGGAAAGACATATGGCAATAGGGGTAGGACAGAGGGTCTATGGGCTTGTCCTGAAGCTGTTTGAATAGCAGTCACAGGGGGCACAGGAGCTAAAGCTTTTTTCCCACTTAACCCAGGCCAACCCTTGCGTGCTGCCTTTGGTATACATCTTTTTTGTTGTTGTTTTTAAATACTTCTTTTGTAGTTATTTCTGTTGGTTATCACTAATTATTTTCTGTTCAGGTCTTAATTGGCTTGAGGCTCCAGTTACTCCTTTTCCCCTCATCTTTTTTTTTTTGGTACCAGGGATTGAACTCGGGTCCTTGTACTTGCGCAGCAGGCGACAAAACCACTGAGCTAAATCCCCGGCCCTTACCCTCATCTTTTAAACAATTTGGGAAACATCTTATTATTTCTCCATCTTAATTCTATCCTTCCAGTTTTCTAGGAAGGCAAAGGCAGGGATGGATTCTACTGTGTGTATGTGTGATTTGGGGGTGTGGGAATTGGGTAAAGGGACCAATAATCTCAAGCGTGGTCAGATGGTGATCTGCGAGGATGTATAGGGAGTGATAGGCAGTCATGATGAAAGGAAGGAGATATTTGAATATGCAACCATGTACATAAGCTTTAGGTTACCATTATTTAGAAACTACTTTGCATTCTTCCTCAAGATCAGGATAGACAGGAAGATTTGACCCAGATCTTCCACCTCTGGTAACTCTTCCGTAATGTTAACAGTGGTAAGATTCAATATGTTGGCCGGCTTTCCAGCTCTTCCATAGGAGGTTGCTAATTATAAAACTGGAGGGTAATTATGCCAACAGAGAAGCTGTTTTCACTTCTAGCTGATATTGAGTAGTTCAGGGCCCTTTTGAGGACTGAGTCAAGAAAGCAATTAAATGTCTTGGGTTTAAATCCTGACTGCTTACTAAGCGAGCTGGAAGACCTTAGACAAGTCACTTGTCTTATCTGTGAGGTAGGGATAACATCATCATATTATTGTCTTACATAAATCATAGTGCCTAGAATATGGTAGACAATCTACTGATGTTTATTATTTTTTTCTTACCCATCTTTCCAGAACATCTTATTTTTAGTAGAATCCTGACTTTACCCCCAAGTAATTGTGTGACTCACTCTTCCCAAGTTTCAGTTTCCTTCCTTATGACAAGGGCATTTAACTAGTTGATTTCTGAGGTGCTTCATAGGTTTCATATGCATGTTTAGACTACCAGGAAATATACAGGCCTGTTAATTTAGGGAAAGAGAACTCATCCTTGAGTTTATTATCCATTTGGAAAAGGGAAGTCTCTGGAACCAAACTCCTCCTCTCCCCTGAGAGTTACAGCTAACTCTCCCTTCAGTGTCAGGATGTGGATTCCACTCTTGGCTTTTGTCTTTTCTAACACTGCACTGTATGTGAAGGCCTTTGGATCAGCTTTGCCTTGATATGACTCATGCTTTACCTATGTCTTCTTTTCTTTTTATTATATTCTATCCAGGTCAAGGGGCAACTGGCATTGAGAGAGAGTGACTGTTCCCAAGACAGCAAACATTGGAGGAACAGCCAGAAGTATTGACAGAAAGCTTAAATTACCTAAATGGTAAGTATGTTGTACAGTGAAGTCTGGGCATACTAATAGCATTGGATGGGTTTTGAAGCTTCTACAAATTTCCAGCACCGCAAAGGAAGGGAGGAGAATCAGTGTTTGTTGATGGCCTGTTGTGAACTGAACATAGGGTAAGTATCCTTTTTCTCTTTAACTTTTTTCTCCCTTAAGCTCCTGACTTGATGAAGGTAAAAATCCTTGCATGGATTCAATGACCTTAAGAAGCAGGCCCAAACTACCATTCATTGAATATTTATTATATATCAGGCATAACCCTGTCAGACATTGTCTCCCTTAATATTTATTCCACCCCTTGAAGTTACTGCTGTTACCACTACCATAAGGACATGAGCTTAGAGAGCTCATATATAACTTCTCCAAGTTCATACAGGCAGTAAATGATACAACTAGGTTTTAAACCTGGGTTCTTTTCATTACACTATAATGTTTCCCTTTTGAAAAACTTTTTAAATTGAGATAATGACTCAACTTTTTAAAAAACACAGCAAAATAGGGCCAGGGGTTTAGCTCAGTGGTGCCACTGCCTGCCTCGCAAGCATAAGGTCACGAGTTTGAGTCCCGGTACCCCAAAGAAAGCAAAATAAACTATAAAGAAGGTTTGCTCAATAAGTACTTCCTTTTCCTAGCCTTTTCAGGATTTGGCATGCCAATACTTGCTTTTTGAGGGGCAGAGGGTGGGGGGAGGGGAATTGTTCTCCTTTTCCTAGAGCATTTTCTACCTCAAATAATGATATTAATTCTGGTTGGATGGGTGGCAGTTAATATTTGGTTTCTTTTTATTAGAGCCTAGTAATTTTTAGTTTACTTGCTGAAATTTTGGGGTGGGGAATAAACATTTTCATCAACAAAACTTATACATACCTATTTATATGTAAAATCTTCTGTACATGGGAGCTGTGTTCTGATGATAAAAACTGACCGCTGTATATGCCAAGTACAGTTCTTAATGCTCAGTATACGACATTAAACAAAATAGAAAAAGTCTGTGCCCACAAGAATTATATTCTAATGGGTAGAAACAGATGAAAATAAATGAATAATAGATATAAATAGGGAAATAGGTAAATGATATCCAAGTGATATGTACTAAGCAGAAAAAAGCAGGGTAAAGTTAATAGGGAGTGATGGGGGAGCTAAGGAATTGCTGCTTTATATAAGGTAACCAGCCAGGGAAGGCCTCTGATGAGGTGATAACATTTTAATCTAAGACCTAAAAGAAGTGAGAAATCCAGCCAGGCAAATATTTGGGAGAACAGCATCCAGGCTGTTCTCCCATCCAGCCATTTCTCCCAGGATATAAGTGTTATTAAAGACCCACAGGGAGGCAGTGTGGCTGGAGTAGAGGGGTAGGGAAAGAGCAGTAGGCGATAAGAGAAAGAAGTAATGAGACCCATGGAAACACCTTTGGGGTGTACATTTTATTCTAAGTGAGGTGGGACCAGTAGAGCATTTAGAGCAGAAGAATGACATGATCTGACTTAGGTTTTTGAGGGCTTACTCTGGTTGCCATGGGAATATAGACTGTGGAAGGTAAGGAAGGGAGGGCCATGGTGGGAATAAGGAGACCAGTTAGGATGCTTTTGCAGTAATCAGTGTGAGTATGTGTGAGTGTGTGTATGTGTGTGTGTGTGTGTTGGGAAGCTGCTTGGACTAGGGTACTAGTGATGAGTAGCTAGAAAGTAATGAGTTCAAGACATTATTTGATTGGGTTTTTTTGTTTTTTTGTTTTTTTTGGTACTGGGGATGGAACTCGGGTCCTTGAGCTTGGGAAGCAGGTGGTGGAACCACTGAGCTAAATCCCTGGCCCTCAAGACATTATTTGAAAGCAGAGTCAAATTCTTATTCTCCTAATAAAGATGTTGATTTATCTGGAGTTAACTTCTACGTTATGTAGGTTTGAGGGTGTCATTGGAAACTTACCAATCATCCTTGGTAAAATTTTAAAATTTATTGAGCAAAAGATGAGAACACAGTGATTCTTAGAAAGATGGCTTATATTCACTACATTATGCTAACAGGTAATAATCCTTTTTTTCTTTAAGCTTTGCCGTGATTTTATTTGAACTATAAAATTAGTTCAAATTCATTATAGAAATATTGAGAAATAGAGATGCAAAACAACACTATCCAGAGAGAATTACCATCTATAACTATCCATGTCTGTATCTGTCTGTCTATCTGTGGATCAGGGCATTTCATTTTTGCAAAGTTTCTTAGGCTGGAAGATCAGATATGTAAAACTAAAGTACTTAAATGATAAAATTAGGTATCTCATGCTTTCTTGTGTGATCACAACACAAAGAAAATGTGACTTGGCTTTGGAGCTGATTGAACAACTGTTTGAAGGTATTATGGATACCTGGCTGTTGGACCCTAATGATCTGGGTACCGTTAGTTCTTTCTCTTATCTTCTACTGCTCTTTCCCTTCTCCTCTACCTCAGCCACATTGGCCTACCCGTGGGTCTTTAAGATATGACAAGTAACCACTCATACCTCAGGGATTTTGCATCTGCTACTCCCTCTGCCTGCGTTGCAGTATCACCCAGATTTCCCTGGCTGGATTTCTCACTTGTTTTAGATCTTAGTTTAAAATAGGTCTTTATCTAGAAAAGCTGGTTTTAGTGACATTCTAGAGGCCTATTCTTGGTTATATTTTGTTTAGCAATTTCAACATCAACTTAGATGACGATAGAGAAAAGACAAACCTATTGGATTTAAAATAATGAATGTAAGTTAGATAGTGTACAGAATATTTGGGTAATGGATTGAAGTATAGAATATAATAAATAATAATTTAAGCTAAAGCTTAATGCCATTTAATATGGACCAGATATTAGTCTGAGCACTTACGTTTACCGTAACCCTATAAAACAGGTATGGAAACAGAGAAGTCAAGTGAGTTATACAAAGTCACTCAGCTAGGAAATTAATTAAGTCAGGGTTTGAATTTAGGTTGTCTGGCTCGAGAGTCTATAATAATCTTTAATCCTTGCACCATACTGCCTACAAAAGAAGTGTAAATTAAGTCCTGTATTTAGCTTATTAAAATTAATTAGATTTAACAGTTTATTCAATAAAATCAGTACAAACCTACAAAACTAATAATGTGGCTGCCAGATTAACTCATGAAATCTTGGGCTTTGTTATTAGACCTGGATAGAACAGGTCATCGTTCAGACCTTCACCCCCCCCCCCCCCACCCCCCCGGGACTTTATTACCCATTGCTATTGTCCTGGTTCAGGCCCTTCTTTCATTTCTTGCCTTGACTGTTATAATAGCACCCTAGTTTACCCTATCAGAATGGCCTTTGAGAAGCACAGTTCTGATTGTATTGGTTTTGAGTTTAAAACTCTTTGTCTAAAACAGGTTGCAAATTTGCCTCCCAAGTCCATTCGAAGATGTAACTGTAGTATGTGTTTTGAAGGTCTAAGAAGTAATTTTTAAAAAATTTCTTCACATATGAATTTGTTGGCTACATTTAAGAGATTTCGTATAGAAACGGCCTGATCTCTCCCCTCTTAGCTGTAGTCCTCTTAGGCCCTTGATACTTATTTATATTATAGGCCAGATATTTGTGACATTTGCATTTGCAACTTTAGGCATAAAAGCTGAATATCTTTCCTAGAATGGGAAGTAGTGCCCTGATCTGAATACAGTCTCTTAAATGTGGTTGGCCTGTACAGAATACAGTAAAACTATTACCTTCATTTATTTACCAAACATTTATAAGGTTTCTACATTGCCCCATCACTGTATTCCCATGCCCATGACAGAAAAAAGAAACTTACACAGCCTCTGCCTTCATAGCTTAGCGCTCAGAACCCAGTAAAGGATGACAAATATATTTTGAGTATCATGGGCATAGTGATAGAAGCATCTAGATAGTTCAGAATGGTGCATTTCTGTGGGGAAGTCTGAAAAGAACAGATGATGTGTTAAAAGATGTTCACCATAAGAATGGTGCGGGAGAGGCTCCGAAGGGTGGGAAAGGAGGGAGATAAGGGAATTCTAAGTGTTCCTCAAACATTACAACCTTAGCCGTGCAGTTGTTCTGAGATTTCAGGGCCTTCAAATCTATCATTCAGACCTTACCAGTTATTTATTTTGCCCTTCCCTTTGTTCCTCACTTATTAGCAAGGCAGATTTACTTAGTTGCCCAAATGCAGCGTTTTTTGTTTGTCCTTGCCCCTCCCATAAACAGTTATTTACACTTTTTATATACCAGACATTGTTTAAGGTGCTGGGGATACACCAGTAAAAATAACTATGAACACAAAAAACCATGTTTCTGGCCTCATGGATCTCACATTCTAGTAAAAAGTCAGACAGTAAACAAATCACAGTAATCAGGTGGTTAAATGCACGAAGAAGAAAAATAAGTAGAGTATCTTACCTTAGAGCTGCCCAAAGATGGAATGAGTTGTCTTGAGGGATGGAGGAAAATGAATATTCTTCCTGTCATTAGAAGTATTTGAATAAGAGTTGAGTGACTACTTGCTAGATGACTTCTGCATTGAGTGGGAGGTTGGGTCAGATGACTTCTAAGTCCTTTCCATATTGAAGAATAGCTGAATGCTTTTTGTGCTACTAATTCTGAGGTTTGCATGTTTAAAATATGAATTTGTAGTTCTGGGAAACATCACCAAAGCCCAGCAATTAAATAGAAACACTCAAGAAGTGGTGGTGAGATAGAAGTAATCAGGAGGAAGTGACTGAAACATATTGCCCTAGTTTTCCTTTAGATCGAGAGATGGCAAACTGTGGCCTGCTGGCTCCCTGCCTGATTTTGTAAATAAAGTTTATTGAAACATAGCCAGTTCATTCATTTATATATAGTGTATGACTATAATAGCACAGTTGAGTTATTGAGACAGAGACCTTAGGTTTTACAAAGGCTAATATATTTACTGTTAAACTGACCTGGTATTCTTACATATCAAATTGTAAAGAAAAACTTTGCCGACCCCTGCTTTAAATGAATGACTTGGGAAGAGGAAGTGAATCATGGCAGCTGTGTTGGGAAAAGGGGCGGGGCAGGGCAGGCTTGATTATGTTCTATTTCAAACCTTCCTGATCTGCCAGGACAGGAAGAAGAGCTAGTCTTCAGAATGCTGGATAGGGACACTTAGAACCAGATTCAAGAACTTTGGCAGAAACATTCCCAAAATGAGAGGCAATTTTTATCTTCCTGATGTAAATTGGAACTGAACTAGTTGCTGGTTTAGGAGAAGCTGGTACTAAATGATGGGACTGTCCTTTCTGTTCTTTACTTTTCTGTGATTTATTCCCCCCCACCCCCTGGTGTTTGTTTTTTGAGACATGGTCTCATTATGTAGTTCAGGCTGCCCTTGACCTCACTATGTAGCCCAGACTGGTCTCAAACTCGCAGCAGTCTTCCTGTCTTAGGCTTCTGAGTGCTGGGATTACAGGTATGCACCACCATTCCAGACTCTGTGGTTTTCTAAGTTTTAATATAAATAATTTCCTTCCCAGATGGTGTCCTCACACACAATCACTTCTGAACTTCCAGTGCACATGTATCTGATAGAATGTGCTATACAAAATAAAGAAGTATAAGAAAGCAGAGAGCAGAGGGATATGTCCTATTATTATGTGAGATGGTCAGAGAAGGCTTCTTTATCATTGTTTTACAGTTGGTATATCTTTTTGATTCTGTAAAGGAAAGGGACAGGTCTTCTCATTCTAGTATTTGACAAAATTCTGCATGCTTGATAAATGTTCCATGAATGTCTATTAAATAATGAATTTTGCCAGGGGGTGAAGGAGGTATTATGAAAAGATGAGTCTACTCCTTCCCTTTGTGGATGGCCTGGAGAAAGCATTTCTTTCTTTGGCTAGCTCAGGCTCAGAAAGTCAGAGATAAGTGACACCCTAATCCTTTTTTTGATCCACTTCCTTTTTTTACCTTGAGTAGCAAGAATGATCTTAGTGAATTGTTATTTAGGGAGATTCCAACTGGTGAAACTTTAGTACAGCCTCATCTATAATGATTATTCTGAATTGGACAAGTCCAAGAATTATACTACTGTTTTATTGATTTTGGTTTTGACTTCATTGCATATAATGTTACTGAGAGTAGATAGGTTGATTTTCTTTTATTCAGGGGAAGGAACTGAGGTAAAGAGAAGATCATGATTTGACCAAACAGCATATTATTTGTAAAAGAATATGAACTTTGGAACTAGAGCTGGATTCGTCATCAGGACATTCTTACTAGCTATGTGCCTGGGCAAATTTGAGGGTCTTCATCCCATGACATTATTATTCAAACCGAATAGATTAATAGTAATAGCTACTGTTTTTTTTGTGATTTCTGTGCACTGCCTTCTTCTAGGCACTGAACATGCCCATATTTTCATTGTATGGGTGTGAACTCTCAGGGAAATAATATGTTTAAGAATGTGTAAATGCTAGACTTGGGATTCCCGAAGAAAACAGGCATATGAGGTGCTTAATATATTGCATGGAGTATAGTAGTGCTCAGTTTGCAGATCTGCTTGTTTGTTCCTTTATACTGTTGTTATTATTGGTCTGTATATAATTAGAGTAGTGCTCAGAATTTCTCACTTTGTAAAAATACTTAGAGTTTACAGGAAGATAGGTAATTTTGTACAAAGGGAAGAATGGTGGATAGAAAGCCAGGAGACTGAAATCTTTGGCTTTGCTAAATTACTGGAGAAACCATATTATTTATTCCTGAGTTTGTTTCTGCATTTTTAAAATAAGGGGATTGGGCCAAATGGGTGGTTTAATTTTAAATAAAACATACAGAATTCTTTTCCATAGTCATAAGTAAAGAACCCAATACAGAAGAGCCTGGAGCTTGGCCTACTCAGACTTCCTTCCCTGCTGTCCCCTAAATGACTCTTGATGGGATTGCAGAGTCCAGTTTGAAAACCTGTGTTTCTGGAATCGCATTCTGAGGGGTGGAGGAAAATCAAAAATATTTTCTGCTTCTTATCTAATACTTGGTCCAGTAACAGCATGTGAATGGTGAGATTTTAGTATTTATGTCCCATTTCGATGACATAGATCTGCTAGCCATAAGGAGACATTATTCAGCAGGCCAGGGGGAAAGTCTTGTGATTGATGTAGTGGTGCAGGGCTTAGCTGAGGTCTTTCAGAACATTACCACAGGGCCTGACACTCTGTGCTGTCCATATCCACTTTGCTGACTGCTTCCTCCTTTGTAATCCATAAGCAGTTTGACATTGTTTTTAATGTTTTTGTTAATAATGGTCAGTGTCAAAAGTCTAACCAGCCATTTGATAATTAAACAGTTCATTCAGCCATGAAATTCAAAGCACATACTATGTGCTATGCTCCCTGCTGGGTACTGGGAATACAGTGGTAAATAAGAAAGCAAGTTGGAGAGATAAAATAAACTTTAGTACAGTATGGTTAAATGTAGTGATGAAGTCAATACTAAAAGCAAGAAAGAGGCCACGATCTGGCCTTGGGCTTTAGGAAGGAGGTACTCTAGGAACTTCCAGGAAGTTGGGTCTAAAGTGGGATCTGAAGAAAGAAAGAGGAGTCAAGTTCACAATCCTAATTCAGAATAATAATTATAGATGGGGCTGTACTAAATTAAAGTTGAGTGTTTTTTTCTTTTTTTTTTCCCCATTAACTTTATTGGTACATTTTCAGTATAAAATACAGTTACATTCATCATTGGGATCTTGTACCATTACATGAGTATCTTGGTT